TTTTTATGTCACTCGCCGACGACGGAGAAAACGCAACTAACTACTAAACATGCAACATGATAACAATGTATAGAGACTAGTACTGGCGAGACCGGTTTGTAGATATGCACATCGACAATATTATATATAATTATATCACATAGTTCATATCTGACAAAATCAATATATTAACTATGCATAGACGTAAATAGGGTTTTTAATTGCATAAGGCTTAAGCACAAAAGATTTCAAGAGCAAAAGAGTACGGAATATTCGTTATATATAACGTTATAACGGAAAAAAATTGATCTTAGTGAAAACGCTATTCATGCAATTGTATCAGAAACAGATGTCACGTCCAATTTTGATGTGTTACAAGATAAGGTAGCTACAGTGAATAATATAATAGTGAAGTAAATGGTATCACTCAATGTATAACGTTAAAAGGAAAATATCAAATAACGTTTCAACGTTCAATAACGTTAAACATTAAAATTGTAAAATGTTTCAACGTACAATAACGTTAAACATTAAATATGTATAACGTTTAAATAGGAAATTTAAAAATCACAGTATTTAATAATATTAATAATTGTATTTGAAAAAAAGAAAGTATTTAAATACATGCATACAAATAACTTAGAACATAATATAAGTCATTATACAGTATAAAATGTTGAATTTAATTCCTTAAAAAATAATTTATTTTCAATTTTCTATGCCTTTGTTTCATTTATCGGCCTTCATAGGACATATAGCACTTTTATTGGTGATAACTGTCTGTAGTAAAATTTTCAAGCAAGCGTCAAGCACAGTATAGATGAAATGAAGAATGAAACAAGCGAGGATATATTATCAATACACCTTGAAGAGGATAAATTATGATAAAAATGTATTGTTGAACATAAAATAGTATATACTAATTAAACAGTAGATAATTGTAATTTTATAAAGTAAAAACTATATACAAGTATAACTTACAATTTTTCCCCGACTCATTTGTTTCAAATGAATAATTTGACTCCGAGTCAAGTGAAACATAGGAATGATCAGTATATGGACTGTTTATGGTGTTGTGTGAAATCATATTCTTAGTTAGAAGCAAGAAATTAATTGAAATTAATGTTATGGGTAGTGTTGGATACACAATCAGATTTTAAATTCGGCGCGCTGCATGCGATCCGAATTTGTGGCAATGTTGTCACCCTGCTGCTCCGCCGACGAAGTCTACTCAAACCGAACTTTGTCCTATGAGGAGGGGACGGGTATTGTCGTGGTCTAGCCGTTGGTCGCCGACACCCTCCACTGCCGTTTTTGTCGTTTTCCAGCCGTCTAGACAAAGTGTTGTCCTTTTTTTCGTTCTCACGACCCGGTGCGTCGCTGCCTTTTTCTTGTATACGCCATTTTTATGTTAAGCTCCCGAGCTCCGGCGTTTTTTCGTACTTGACGTATTGTTTCGACCCTCCGTGTCGCAATCCGACCGCGTTTTAGCGACCTTTGTCGTTCGTCCGTTGATTTTGTGCGACTTGAGCCCTGCTCGTTCACCTTCCACTTGTTCCGTCCGTCCGTTTCTAATGCAGTGCGAACCGTGTCATAACCTTCCTTGTTTTCGTGCGCTGTACACCCGGTTGCATCGCTTCAACCGCCCGTAACGCGAGCCATAAAATAGACGTATTGGCTTTGTCGCCCATCCGTATCATACGCTGTGCGACCCCGATCTCGAACCCGCGGTCGTGGTGTTCTGCTCGAGGTGCAAAACCACTCTTCGTTTCCGACGTTCCGTCAAGCTACGAAGTCTCGACACGCGGGCCAGTTTCGTCAAGTCGACGTGGGACATACCGTCGTGTTATCTTGATTCCTTGTCCATCTTCTGCCGGTCGCCGTCGTTTGGGACAACCACTCCATCACCGAGTTATCACGTCCTGCTATCAACATCGCCGTATCAGGTCGTACACATGGTTATCGTATGTTGTCATTGTTTATATTATCTCACCGATCGGTTTGTGATCGCGTGATTACTAACATTAATTTTAAGTCTCCTTTTCTGCAGCATTTTGTAATAAATTATCCCGTACCTTTCATACCGTAAATATTGTTATTGTTGATTAGCTTTCAGTCATCACCTTCACTCTTTAATTCTCTTATTCCCGAAACCAATCCTATATACAGTCCACTCTCCCCCTCCTACAGGGTTATAGACAAGCCAACTACGAGTAGGTAAGTGACACACGATTCGACACTTGTAGGCAGCCTACAGCGCACGCACAAGCCTACACGCGTCACCCGGCTTGATGTGCAGGCGTCGCACAGGTAGAGTAGGTAATAATACATATGATAAATAAATAATATAATAATTACTTGGTGTTCTAGAATCCAATGGTAGAGCTAACACATTTGGAGAAGAGAGAATTGTTGTTTCACATTCTGCTGGAGCATTTGATATATTATTGTCAACAGTAGAACAAAAATCAAGTTTACGTGAAATGCTGCTGGAAGATGATGGTGTATCATCTAAAATATAATACAAACTATACAGTATATTTCATTTTCAAACATAATAAAACAATCTAATATAAAAATGAAACTGTACACTCACTTATAAAATGTCTTGGTATAGCATGACTATGGAGTCTATTTTGAAGATCATTTAAAAACATTTTTTGTTCAAAATGTTTGCCACACACCTTTAAGGATTTTCTTATGGAATCAACAGGAATTGTGATACCACAGTTTTCAATCCACTTGGCACGGCTATGATTAAGAATTATTTTTTAGTTTTATTACATTTTCCTATATAATTAATTTATTTTATTTTATTATACATACTTAGTTGGATCCCTCGGAAGGGAAAAATAACTAACGTTAGGATTTTGAGCCATTTTATTTTGACAACTTGAATACGAAAATTTTATGTAATTCTTTGGAATATTTAATGTATTCATTGTAAAAATTAATACACCAACAACCACAAACAATTGACAAAAAAACAAAAAAAAATTAATTAATGCAAATAACAATAAGAATAATATAGAATAATATGCAGAATAATATGTGAAATTGTGAAAAATGAATTGCGAAATAGCGATAGATCACAAGTATACACAAACGCAATGTCTGATAGACTGATAGAGTGATAGCGTGTTCATTACAACTTGATTTCATAACCTAACAAATTTTCTAACAGCATAAATAAGAAGATGGCGGCTACCACCCCCACTACATGCAAAACGTTCCTTGCTTCAAGTGTCCTTTCTGATTTCATCTATTTTGTGTCGCTACGCTCCTCGGCGCCGTCGCTCCTCTCCGCAAATCGAAAATATCCCTCGACTTGTTATGCAACACCACCTCAAGTTGGTCACTGTGTAACCGCTGTTATACCAAAGAACAACCACTCTTATCATTTCGGCCAAAAGCTTATCACTACCGCTATCAAAATCGGGAAATCTGTTCCAGCCCCTGAAAAATATTTCCAATATTTTGGAGGGAAACAGTGGCGGTTTTGACATGTAATTTTACACGAGGCGGAAAAATATTAAATAGTAAATACACTATTACTCTAACATAAGAACAAACCATATTAATATATTCATTGAATGGTATGGATTATCAAAATGAAGCGGAAATATTAGCCAGTTATGATTACATCACTACTGTTGCCTAGGGTGTACCACATAGAGGTTTTTCCATACACCCCTCCCTAACTATGTACATATATTTACAGTATTTTACACACATCAAAATATAAATAACAAATAACAATTAACAATATAATATATTACATGGCTAGTCTTTTAGTTGTAATTTGATTTAAAACATAAGTACGTAAAAGTGTAAAACAAAAAATAATATAACCTGACATAAACCTTTTATAATAAAACATACACAATATGAATTTTATTGAATAACACATTATTTACAAAATATATGATTTAACATATTATATAGGTATCTAATATGTTTATATGTTTTTATGATTTATATCGTAAACCAATACTTCTATTTTTTTTACTTGCATAAATATTTATGACTTCATCATAAAATGCTCCAGTATGTTTAAGTTGGTCAACTAACTCCTTTTCGATTGAAATTATAGCAAGAGAACTCAATCGATTTCGGGAAATATTGTTACGCAAATATGTTTTTATACGTTTTAGACAGGAGAAACTTCTTTCTACTGATACGCTGGTTGATGGTATAGTTAATATTAAAGAAAAAAGTTTATATACTTCTGGTAAAATTACTTTTAATCCACTGCTCTCAAATATTTTTACTAAATCATAAATATGATGTAAATCTTGATATTTTTCATCGCTGTATAATACTTCTAACTCTGTTTTTCATTTGTTATTATCTATAACTATGTCAGAATAAGATTCTCCCAGATTTTCAAATGCATTTACAGGAAAAGTTGTTGAATAGTATTTAAATTTTGAAACATCGGCCAGTTGTAGAAATATCGATTTATCAGTATTTTGAAAACTCGTAGTTATCTGAAGTAAAATATTATCTAGTATTTCATAATATAATATTTTATAATTTAATTCAGAATTAGACATATTTCTTGTTGAATTAGGGCGTTTTGTTAACGTAATCGCATTGTTAAATAGTTTTAAAAACTCAGATTCATTTCTTTTTTTACTAACGAGATCATAGACTATATTTATTTGTCGCACACAATATTCCATATAAAATGACTTATTTTGAAGTGTATTAAACAAATTGACAGTGAGTATAAATATACTGTTGAATGTTTGAGCTAAAAAAGCTAAGTCAAATTTTTTTAAATTTTTTAAATGCCCAGTTGAACCACAAATTGATTCAGATGATGAATTTGAATCTTTTATAATATGTTCAAAAACCTTTTTAAATTCGTCCCACTTGTCTACAACTAAGTTTAAAATTATTGAGCGAGAAGTCCATCTCGTCTGAACAAATTGCGGTATGCGTTTACCAACAATAGCATCTACAACATTCGTTCGCGAGGTAGAATTATGAAAAAAAGCGGAAATTCCATTCATATTTGCAAAAAAAATGCGATACTGTGTGTTAGCACTGCAGCCGTGCTGTAACACTAAATTCAAACGATGCGCTAAGCAGTGTGTAAATAACGCATTATGAGAAACCTCTTTAACTTTAACTTGTAAACCATTTACATGACCGGCCATGACACTCACGCCATCATAACACTGACCAATTAACTTTTTTTCCATACCAAATTCTAACAATACAGAATTTAATGTGTTGAAGAGACCCTCGGCAGTGCGATTCTCACTAACATTATAGAAACCAAGAAACCTTTCTACCAATTCAGATTTATTTGTTATATATCTTAGTATAATTACTGAACATTGTGTTCTTTGCGAAATATCTGTCGTATCATCAACTTGAACAGAATAAAACATACTCTCCTTGATTTCAGTTTTTACCATATTGTTTATGTAATCGGAAATACATGTTATCAAATCATTTTGTATTGTATTTGACAATCCAGGAAAAATATTTTATATCGCCTTGTAATGGTTTTGCATTTCCAACGAACACCTAATAATATGCATATCAAAAAGTTCTTTAAAATTTCCTTTATTCGAGGAACTTGAACTTTCGTTATGACCTCGAAAGGCCAGTTCTTGTCTACCCAAAAATAACACAATATCAATTAGATGTTCCATAAAAAGTCGGTTAAGTCGAACATTTTCTTTAAATTTTTTTTAAACAAATAGCCATGTTCGGTCAAAGCGTCTACTATAGTTACCCTATTATTTTCTAAATGTTTTATTCCTAACATATAATGAATATGTTCTCTGGCAGATTCATAAAGTTTGACACTACGTGATAATTTTTTTAAATCACCCTAACCCGCTGTAGTCCAAACAGATTTTGTCGTACTTAAAAGTAAACACGGCCAACAATACAACGCCTGTTTATATTGGCTTCCACAAAGCCAAATATGTAAATCGTACCATTTATGATTAAACGCTCTACAAAACATTTTACCACCTTTTTTATCTCTTGACTGACAACACAACTGGGGAATTGGTTTACCAAGTTTTAGCAATTCATTTTTGTCACTAGTTTTCCAACGTTGGAACGGCGTTTCTAAAAGTTGAACAACAGGGTCATATAAAGGATTCATTTTCAACTAATTATCTTAACTAAAGTCTAAAACACGTGTAAATACCTATGTGTAATACACTAATACAGTTATGTTTAAAGTTTAATTTGAAGACCAATGACACTTTACACGACTACACACGGCTACACAGAAGAAGAACGTCGAACAACTAAGAACAAAAACACTATTCTGCATTTCTGCTGATAATAATTAATATTTCACGACCAAATGATAATAAACACGTGACACTGCATGGCTTAAATATACAAGGTTATTGCAATAGTACCCCCACTATATCATTTTATCACGTTAAGGAGTTAAAATAGCAGCGTGAGGGGACGACGTATACTGGCTATATTATGATATTATATGTGTGGCGATTACGTCGGGGCGTGAGGTGTTACGACCCGGTAATCGACCAACGATCTACTCGTGAGTAGGAAAAAAGGAGAGTGATAAAAGACACAGTAAAATTTGGCGTGAGGCGAATACGTGGACCGTATTGTGTTTATTTTATTAGTTTATGAAACAAAAAAAAAACATTTAAAAAAAAGAAACAATTCATACAGGGGTTCGAGCACGTTCGTGGTGCGGATCGCGAATTTTATCGTAAGTGTGCGGGCGTAACATACAACTTTAAAGCAAGCACAAGAAAAAAGGTTTTGACGAGTCGACCGTCGAAAAAAGGAGTAACGGACAAAATCGCGGGACTAAAGCACGAGAGTCGCTTGGCAGTAGAAAAATTCGGTGGGGAAAATAATTCGCGAAGTTTACAATAAATCACAGAACATATATACAAAAAATACAAGGAGAATACAAAAACAACTACGACCGCCGGGCCGGGCTGACTCGTGATGGCGAGTGGTGATACCGGTCGTGTCGCCACATATGCTATGATATGGACCGTACCCTTACGCTGCCATTTTATTTTTATTTGATAACAATTTGGCTATGTGCAATAACCTTGTATATTTAAGCCATGTGACACTGCAACGGTTGTGTATCGGTAACAACAGCTGCTCGCTGGCGCAGCCCCCCACCTAGAAATTAGCATGGCTACACACAATTTATGGGGAGGCCGTAATTATCCGGAAAATAATTGGCCGGAACGTTAAAATAAGGAAAGTAAAATGTCCGGACCGTTAAATTCCGGAATTTAAAAGTACGGGAAGTATAAAATCCGGAAATTAAAATGTCCGGACCGTAATATTCTGGAATGTGAGATACCGGAATGTTAAAACCCGGACCGTAAAAAACCGGAACGTAAATCCCCGGACCGTAAGAATCCGGAATGTTAAAAACCGGAATGTAAGAACCCGGACCGTTAAAACCCGGAATGTAAGATCCCGGACCGTAATTTTCCGGAAATTAAAAATCCGGAAAATAAAATAAAAACAATGGTTCTCAAAATAGAGAACTCAAAAAACTGAAAAACGAGTTTTAAAGTTTTTAATAGGTATTTTAAATCACTGTTAAATGAAATGGTTTTAGTATTTACATTTAAGGGTTGAGTAAGTTCAAATTACATCTTAGTAAGTATAAAGCTTAGAATGAGATTTCTTTGAAATAACTATACAAAAAACTAGAGCGTTATTATATGAACAATTTTTAGGTATAAGGGTCTGAAATTTAAATTTTTCGAAATCGCGTAAAAAAACTTTTTATACTCAAACGAATTTACTACCTATATTATATTACTATATTACTATATTACTATATTATATACTATACTATATTAGATTATACTTAGGTATACTATATTAGATTTTTGATATAATTTAAAAGTATAAAATATATATGATGATTGATGACAATGACTATAATATAGTAAATATTATGTGTAAATGCGTAATGTACTAATGTGTTTTAACAAACAAATATACTAATATGCATACTATAACCTAAAATATGACTATANATACTATACTATATTAGATTATACTTAGGTATACTATATTAGATTTTTGATATAATTTAAAAGTATAAAATATATATGATGATTGATGACAATGAAATAACTAATTAATATATTTTAATAATTAGGGACTAATTTAAAAATAAATAGTTAACCTATTTAATGGGGTGGAGGGGGGGGGGGGTCACCGTTTAACTTACAGCTTACATTGAAAAATGAAGACTATAAACAAACATTAATTTTTACTTTGACAATTACTTTGGTAATAATAATACTAATATTTAGTATCAATATTAATAATCAAAAGTTAAATCATTTTATTTTATTATTTTTTCAAGCAGTTGTAGGTAATGATTTTCATCAAAGAATCACATTTCTGGATACAACCATATTTAATTAAATTGTTAAGTTCTATTGTTATAATTGTAAATTGTAAAGAAAACTGTACTACTAGCTGAAATGGAAAGGGTACATTTTGGCCAAAAAGGAGGCCACCCATCTAGGATTATATTATTATGGATAGGTATTTAATATTTATTATTTTGTAATCGTTGGTAGTGCGCCAGTGTAACGACAAGATAGGTACCAAGTTTACATTATAGTATTATACGAGTATTGTCTAATGTCTTAGTAGACGCTCCGAGAATTGAAACCAAGATAGGTCAATATGTACGTCTGTCTCTACAGTGAAAAATTCAAGACTAATCCCTACTCCTATGAACTATACTAGCGATTATTGCGGTACACGCCATAACTAAATATCGAGCGGAGCGCCCCGTAGCGTTACTCGCCATTCAGCGCGCAGCGTATTTTGTACTGCAGTGAGCTATCTATAGTATTTATAATCAATGTTATTAGTCTTTACTTTTAATTTAATTTAAGATGAGATCAATTTAACTAAAAAGATGAGATGCCTAGATGGGCAGAGATGGCTAGATATAATTATTAATTATTATCACAAAATAAAAATATATCATCACGACGTTATCGAAAACGTTGTTGTGGGCCCACGTGTTAAGATTCTATTTTCTGATTGGTTGCTGCATACATTTTTCAAACTATCACGCACGGAAAATAGCACATGACATATCACCAAAATCCAGCCCGCGTTCACACAGCGGAGCCAGCAGTGACGTCATTTTCAATCACCGAAACCAACAATGTTGCCATCACAGCTCCCCATACGGGAACCAGCAGCAAAAAAAGCGTCGTGTGCGGCGGGCTTTAGTACCGAACGTTCATGTGTGCCTGCTTCGTATGGTGTATATTGTGCGGCGCCACGTGTTGTGTGACCCGTATAGTCGTTCTAAGTTTCGCGCGTGAAGAACGGTCGGTTGTTCGCGGTGGCAATGTGGCTAACGCTATGTTGAGCGCCGACGTCATTGTGCTCATATGACCTGCCCGACTGGTAATTATCGTGGGTACGGGTTGTTACGTGTACAGGCGAAGGGTGAATGTTTATCCGCGGGGCTGTGTTATTGTGTGGCTGATGTGCTGCTGCTAGACGTGTTTCTGTAAAGAAACTCGTCATGCTTGCCTCCAGCGCCCGTAAACGAGCCTCGAACGATTTTGAGTCGCTCGTTTGTGGCACCGTTTGTGTCAACAATTTTAACTGCTCCGCAGCGGTTTTTAACAGATCGCTCTCTACCTGATGTGCGGATTGTCCCTGTTGCCGCAGTAATCCGACAGGTTATCCGTAGGTTTTTGACTTGCTATCGGGCTTGTCAAAATACCCCCCGGACGGCTGTCCGAATATCTGACTGGCGTTCGTGTCTACCAGCGTTGCCGAAACGTCCAGCCGTTCTCCCGTACCGTCCGTCAATATAATATTGATTGACGGTTGCACAGGATAGAACCTGACGTTCGCGGGGTCCTGTCCTCTCTTCCGAATATGTTCCTCGAGCCTGATAATTATGTCCGGTTTAGGGCCGGACATGCTTATTCCCCGGGCCGTACACTCGCTACGTAGCTCCGTCGTCGTCAATTGTAGCAACGATTTTCCCGACATATTGTATTTATTTCAAAATAAAGTTACAAATGCGGACTTTATACTATTGCGTAGACGGTAGCCTGTGCTTGTTATATGAGGCGGGTGCTCCGAGAAAATATGGTTGGGGACGTGGCGAGAAAGCGAGAGAGACAAAAAAAAAAATAAACAACGTTACTTTAATAAACAAACGTAAATTTGTGATGTTCTTGATTACGCTCGCGCCAATGATAATCATCTGTGCAGCTGATTGTGGTGTCGCCGGTACGGTCCAAATATAGCGTAACTAGGTCAACGTACTCGGCGGCGGCGGTGAACCTGTTTGTCTCGGCGGCACGCAGCGGCTGCTCAGGCAGGAACGGCGGCGCGCGGCGGCGGCTTACGACGACGACAGCGATATCGGTTTGAGTATTCTTACGCGTACGCTGCGCTGTTATCAGCGGTAAAGTGGTAGTGTCACGGAACGAAAGGCAAGTGTTCGGAGGGGTTGTGTTATATAACGCTATTGCGCTATCTTAATTACTTCCCACGGCCGTTTCACGGTTATTCGCGGTCGCGACGGAATTCCCCTTTCGTACCAGAATACTTCTTACGTAATTCAAACTCGGGGATCCTAGCAAACCGGAAAACACATACCTGGCTAAAAACACCTTAATACTAATATAATAAGCAATTTATCCGAGGTACCATGTGACCTATGTGTCAGCGTGAATAAAATTCTTACCTTTGCGCTGACTGCAAACTGGAGGTGATTCCTCTGCGGGGTGCCAATTGACACTGCTACGGTGGTAGATGTAGATCGCGGTGAGCCGGTCTTGAGGTGGTTGCAAACCAAGGAAACAGAAAACAGTAACCAACGAAAAGAAAAAAAAACGACGATCACCGGTTCTGGTGTATATGCGTTTATTTAAACGATGAATAAACACAATTGCGTACACGCAATGAAGATGTATGTGATATACAGTTTTATGGTGAGGTAATACGGCGATCGGAGGTGCTGGTGTGTGCGGTTCGACGATCGGCGTAAGAGAGCGACCCCGTGGACACCAGGGCTTGGAACCTTTATGATTTTTTCGGTTTCGGTTCCAATTCGGTACTTCAAAAAAATAAAAATTCGGTACCGGTTCTTAAAATTACAGAATTAAGGTTTCGGCTCTGGTACCGGTAATTACCGGTATTTAGAGGTATATTTTTTTTTAAAAAAAGCAAAAAAAAAACCAATTATAAACTTCATTCCTATACCCATAGGCGCAAATCGAGGGGATAAGGTCCCCAAACTTAGTCGCAGCCCCCCCCCCCCAAAAAAAAAACGTATGATATACAATTTTAAAATTTTATATTGCAATGGTCTGCTTGCCTTTAATATATTCAGTCCCCCAAGTTGTAAGTTGAATTGCGCCTATGCATATACCTATATAATTATCGAGATTTCGAGATAGAAGCGGTCTGTGCTCAACATTACACTATTACCACATTAATTGATTGGTTGTTACTTGTTTTTGTATGATAGGTATCATAGGTAGTAGGTACTATGATATGCTATTTTTAGTGGTGAACACTGCCAAATAACGACTATCGAATTTATTATTGTAAGAAACTATTCAGAAATTATATTTAATATGTATATGTATACCATTATTATATTAATCATTAATCCTTGTCACAATCTGATAACAATTTATACGGGTGTGTATTTTGATGGCGTTAATAATCATTTTATTAGACATCATTCATCAATTTACATTACAAGACATTGTATCCAAAACTATTTATAAATTATAAAATATAAGGAAATAATCATAACGACATGCTTTACAAACCAACAGTATTTATTATATTTATTTTGGTAAATGCTCATTGTTTATTGTTTCCTGGAACTGTTAGATTATAGAAATGTACAATTATAATTACCTGTATTCATTTACAACCAAATTTTAAGAATCAACTATTATTTAATAATATGTATTACCTGCCTAAATATATTAAATAATTAAATAAAACTAGAACCGAAAAAAACCGAAATTAACCAAAAAATTCTCTTCAGATAAATATCGGTTCCGGTTCCTGTTTAGGTTCCTAGGAAAATCAAAAAAGGGTTTTGGTAAGGTTCCGGTTCCAATATTTTCAATAGGTTCCGGTTAAAATACCGGTATTTTTAATTTCAGTTCCAAGCCCTGCTTGTCCAGCGCGACTTGTCTTCCCGTCCACCTAGCCTTTTGGCGTGGAGGGAGAGTCGACGGTGTTGCGCCGTAGTCACCCGTGGTGGTGGTTGATAAAGTCGTAAACCGGTCGCGGCAGTGCCTGTACTTTGTACTGGCTGCTGCCGCGTACCGTGTCAACGTACCGACGTAAGAATATAGTACCAACGATAAAAGATTTTAGAGTAATTAACCCAAGGCTAGCGTTATTAAAAATAGAGATTAAATGGTTTGATATCGTATTAATTAACGCACACGCACCCAAAGAGGACAAAACACAACAGGAAAAAAAAGATTTTGATACTGAGATAAAACTACTACTAGAAGTGATAAGTAATAGCAAAATTAAAATTAAACTAGGAGACATTAAAGAAAAAAAAGGGAAAAAAGAACATTTAGACCAACTATTGGTACCCACAGTTTATGTGACATGACTAATGACAATGGCACAAAACTAATAGATTTGGCCATAGGGAGAGGTCTCAGAGTCAATTGTATAGTGTTCCCGCATAAAGACATACATAGGGGGGTGTATGTCATCCGATGGTAGGTACGTAAACCAAATAGAACATATATTGGTAAATGAGAGATTTACCAACAATATAACGGATGTAAGACCATACAGGGGAGGAGCTGACTGCAACTCCGATCATTTTCTCGCAGCAAACAACCTTAGGGTTAAACTAAAAACAATGAGTAGGAAAATGAGACTGGAAATTATCAGGTATGATGTAGAGAAACTCAGGGATAATAGGAAAGTCAGAGAGTTTCAAGAGAACATACAGAAAATGGTGCGAGAAGTTAACCCAAATCCTTCAATGGAAGATTAACAATGGGAAATAATTAAACATACCCTCAGAAAAGTGTCAGAGAAAGTGTTAAGCAAAGTGTTAAAGAAAGCCCATAGAACGAATAAACACTGGTTTAATAGTTTATGCCAAGAAACCATGATACGCGGCAACTATATCACAAAGTAAATAGCTGTGAAGTGGACACAGAAGACAAGAAAAATTTCTGAATAAGGATAATGGAATATTTGTGAAGAACCAGGAAGAAATTATGAAGAAATGGGTAGAGTTCTTTGAAAAGCTACTCAATTGTGAAGAACCAGTAGATACAACGAACCCAATGATGATCCCTGCCCATCCTCATCAAAGGAGAAAATCGAAACACAAATCAAAAGGCTCAAAAACCACAAGTCGATCGGGGAAGATGACCTTCAAAGGGAAGTTTTAATGCATGTAGATAGTTTCATGATAGGGAGTATATATTCGTTAATAAAAGAAGTATGGGAGAAGGAAATTTTACCTATAGATTTGAGAGTAGCTGAGTAGCATATTTATGCCCAATCCACAAAAAGAGCGACGAGCAAGTCTGTAGTAACTATATAGGAATAGCGTTTCTAGATATATGCAACATAATATAAGGTATTATTACACTGCATCCTAGATAGAATCAAACCTCTGGCCAAAGAAGTAGTGGGGGACTATCAATGTGAATTTAGACAGAATAGGTCAACGACTGACCAGATCTTTATAATCTGACAGCTATTCCAGAAAATCTGGGAATATAATAAAGAACTACATATAATCTTTGTAGATTTTCAAAAGGCGAATGACTTATAGATCAAGGCTGCCTGATTTATTTTGGAAGCGGGCTATAATTTTAATTATATTTAGCTGGAGGGCCACCTTATGAGCAAGACTTACTTACACTTATGATGCATCTATAATTTTATATTCTATAGTCTATACATTGATACTTAAATATATAGGTATTTAATTAAAACAACGTTTTAAATTGCACATGTTTTAATGATAATAATTGTTTTATTAATTAATATCAAAAAACATCAGCGAGATCTATAAAGGTACTTATTAGCTAATAATTTTTCAATATCTGGTGATAAATCTTATGTTGATAGTAACATCAAATCTGAAATATGAGACGCAGTTAACTGCGATATTTATTTTTAGATAGGTTAGAGTAGAAAAAGCGTTTTAGTAAATTTATGTGATCCAAATCTGCTTGAAATCAGAAGGGCAAGATCACACATTGTAGGGAAATCCTCTTTCGGTTCTAATTTCCAAAATGTTATTAAATTTTCTGAAGACTGCGTCTGCGGCTGTGATAATACAGTCTCGGTAAATATCTGCTTCAAGGGAATGTGGTTTTGAATTTCTATGATTTCTAGTTGAATATTGGATGAACATTTTAGTATTTTACTAAAAGTGATTGGAAATGGGCTCATGAAGAGCAAAATGTTTTTTTTTTGTAATTGAAATCTGTTCTCAAAAGACCACAACAATAATTGAATTTGTGCTTGGTATTTCGAGATGTCAAGCGAGGTATTTTCTAGTTTTTCTTTTATTTCTACAAGCGTAAAAAAGTGTTCGATATTGTTTCTAGCCAAATTCGCCGAAAAAAGGGATAGCTTCACTTCAAACCCATGAACCAAATTAAACATTATTGGCAACGAACAGTCCTTCCCGTGCAGCTTCCGGTTAAGTATGTTGAGATAGGGTGTGATATCTATTAAAAAGCAAGATCGCATAACTATGATTCATTTTTAAGTAGATCTCGCTCATTAGTCATTTCCTGCTTTTCTTCTAAAAATTTCAAGACCTCTGTTCTCAAAAAAAAGAAATATTTCAGAATTTCACTCTTAGATAATCAGCGGACAGCACAAATTTAACTCACCAAATTCATTTATTTCATCCTCAAATAAAATTCTGAATTGTCTTCGATGAAGGGCTTTTGCTCGGATATAATTAATACAGCGTACTGCAGGATCAATAACATCATTCAACTTCATATCTTTGGCACATAAAGCTTCCCGATGCATGATACAATTATTTGAAAATAATTTTCGGCCTAAGAACGGTTTTAACAAAGCTACGCAACCAATTGTTTTTCCTAACATAGCGGGTTCTCCATCAGTACAAATATAATTCATTTATTCCCATACTATACCTTTTCTGTCGACACATTCCTTGATTTTCATAAATATGTCCTTTCCGGTACCTGTAATTTCCAACTGGCTGATCTCTAACAAATCTTGAAATACATTAACATTTTCATCAACGCACTTACCGAAGATGTCTAGCTGTGACATACTCGTCAAATCACAAGTTTCATCCAACGCCAATGAAAAATATTAACATTTTGTTACTGTTTCTGTTATTTGGTTGCTAATATAGTTTGACATCTCCTCTACTCGTCTTGTCACGGAATTTATTGACAACGATATACTGTCTGCTTTAGTTTTTACATTTTTATCATTACAGTTTTGTGAAAAAATTGACAAAGCTCCTTTAACAATTTTTCCATCTGAAAAAGGCTTTTTTTTGCTTAAACCAAAGATATCTCATATGATGTTTTTACAATAGTGAGTCTATGAACTTGAGTAGTTAATAAAATTTTTTTACAAACAGATCCTGCTGCCCAATTTTTTTTTTTATGTTCTTTATAAACTCGGCTCTTAGAGAACTTCCTTCCGGATAATTTTGATCAATATTTGAATGATTTTGCTTAAAATGTCGTTCTAAATTATACTTTTAGGCGATGGAGATTGTAGTGGCGCAAATAAGACATATAGGCTTTAATGCTGTACTGTCAGTAAAGAAATATTTCATCTCAAATTCTTCGCGAAATGTTCTAGAACTTTCCTTCAATTTCGACCTATACTTGGTTTGCTGTGGGCCATTCTGGAGTTACAAGATTATACAGGTAAACCTATTGCAGGTTATTTTTATTCTGAAGAAATATTCAAAACTACTTTCCCTAACGAATATTTGATCGAACAAATTCTACTTAAAAAACCTAACCAATTGTACGTCAAGTGACTCGGATTTGATAATACTCATAATAGTTGGACAAATACACGCGATGTTAAAAAATAGCGTCAGTCGTTTTATAACTATGAACATGTTTGGTAGTTCACAAGCTTATGATACTAAGAGAATTATATCAGATATATACTCAAATAACAAATCAATTCTAAATTATGTGGAACTCGGTCATTTGAAAAATTATACTGTTAATTTTAATGCGAAAACACAATCGTGGGAAAATAATATACAAACAAACAATTGCGAAAATCGTATGTCGAAGCTATTTAATGACTGTGCTGAAACTAGTACAGCAAATCGGTATCCAGGGGCATGACTTGATTCAATTAAAAGCTGAAATAAATTGTATAACTAGAATATTTGATGAGAATTCATTACCGAACCATAGTACATATATTTCAGAATTAAATTCATGTTTGGCAATCATTGATGGCAATTATATTAAGAAAATTTAAGTTTATACAATAAATAATTAGATAAATATATGAGATATTGGAATATAATTTCATTAGATCTGTACATCACATCGTGACCGCTAGTCCTCTGTTAGTGATATAAATATTTATAGATTTAATAAACCAGAAATTATGTCGTCAGCTATCGTAGACATGCAATGTGTTCTTGGTGCTGGTAATAAATATTTTATTAAAGAAATGTCTATAGTCGACACAGAAACATGGAGTGTGGGGAAAGTGAGGCTGTTGAAATTGTATTTCCCTTCATCATGGCTATAATTTTGTCCTACACGACATACCGCCGTCCTCGTCACATGTCTCGCCAAAATCGACCACTTAAAACACTCCTGGTCACTGTTTCGCGGGTTGATGGTACCCCGTTTTCCAGGTATGTATGATGATCCGGCCATCGGTGTATATTTATATACGGTCAACAATAATCCGTCTATCGACTCCAGCGTAAATCCGCTACCGAGGGATTTATAAGTTTCTCCCACGCTCAAACTTTACAAACTCTTTCTCAATAATTTGCTCAATTTAACTATTTAAAAAAAGTTCGACTGCCGAGGTCTTGAATGCCCTATTCTCCGACGAGTTTGGAATCGTGAACGATTGAAGGTAGCCTCAAGTTATAAATAGAATTTAATCGGGTGACGTTGTACATGTGTTTTCAGCATTTTTTTTAGCTCAGACTCTAACGAGCCGAGAAATTATTCGACATACAACACTAACTACATTTTTAGGATAGTACCAGACGATTTTCCTACCTACAGACGATCAGATTTCTTCAAACCCAGATGACTGAACCATACCCATACCCCTAACCTTTCGCCCTAGCTGCCGACACAGTGTTGGCGGTAGAAATACATTTTCCATTACACCCCACAGTTGTATTAGATTCTTTAAAATTAAAATAAATGCATAGGGGAAACTTTAAAAAATCTAATTAACCTACAACTGATAAATAAAATCTGAAAAATTTAACAAATTACATTTCCAAAAATCTGATAAACTTAATGCTACGTCTTTTTATAACTAATACAATTAATATCATATAAGATCTTTCGAATAAATCTACCAAACGGTCTAAACCGATGCAATACCGGAATACTCCAATAAAATGTATGATTTATGCGAATCTTTAAAAATATATTCCGCTTATAATATAAAAAAATTAACTAACCTGAATCACACATGTCTTGTTCCTCAAATTCGTCCATAACTGCCATACAAAATCTGTTCTTAAGACATCATGTGGCAGGGACATCAGGTACGAAAATGTGTGGAGCAATCTTGATAATGTCTTGTACGGGTCGAGCGACTTCATTACGTTGAGCGGGAACAATATCTAGGAAAAAAAATAGATTACTATTGAATAGAAAAATAAATAATAAATATACGTACCATGATCATTTTTCAAATGTTTGTTGATACAGTACACGGATAACGAACGCCAGCTTGAGTTTTTTGAAGGACAAACAATTTGTCTTTACATGCGAACTTCGAAAGGCACTGATTGCATTTAAACATATTTAAAATGAAAATTTAAAGCTTAAAATAAACATTTATAAAATAAGTACTGAGAAAAATCACAGAATAAAATAATATTGAAGAAACGGTTATTTAAATACGTATAGACTTTGAAAACACGGAGAACGAAGGCAAAGTACGCGTATGGGCATCTAGAATAAACTGCTTTGTCTTGGCCGGCAACGGAGTCTGTAATTTTTTTTGGAGGGGGTATCATTTTAAATCAGGGCTTATAAAATTGTATTTAGGTATTTACTATGATAAACGTGTATATCACTAGATCTTTATTGCTAATTTGGAAACCATCGTATTTTACAGAATAATCGGTCAAAAAGTCCGGTATGAAAAAAGTTGGACAAAAAGTCTGAATTCATTTTTACTGTCGGAGAAAAAGTCCAAAAATACAAAATTGTCTATTAAAATTTTTTTTATATTTTATTACTTAATATTTCTGCGATTACCGACACAATGTCACAATATACAATATTATATATTAGAAACCCGGGTGAAATGTAAAATGGGATAGTCATATCATACAATCATACGACTTCTTTTCTGGGATTTTTATTATACTTGCCTACAGCAATCTTACAAAATAAAAATTGAACGTTTTATAATTTTCACATTACGTTTGGAAATAATAATAATAATTTGATATACAATGGGTACTTTTCCATAAGAAATGATTGTCGATGTCAATACAAAAATAATAGTTTTAAAAATATTATACTATTTAAAAAATCTAGTCTACAATAATAATTTATTCTACATTTCGTTTTCTTAAGCAATGCAATGACCAATCCTATTTAAAAATTCTGGTATTGTTAACTCGTTATTAACAAACTTCTTACATAAATATTGTAATTTTATATTTTTTTCTGATCTAGGTTTTTTTTTCTTCCGGGTTCCATATCATATAATGCTATTTTAGCTTTATCCACCCCCATTTCCTCACGAAATTTATTAATCAACTTCCAAGTTATTGGATGATTATGCCCGATTAAATGCTCAAATCTATTGTTCCAGCTTTCACAAATATTATTTGTACGGTGTCTGGAGTGCAATGTAGCCTCGTCTACGTTCCATGTTTTAGTGAGGTACAATGGATTAATCCGTCTGAATTTTGAAACCCCGACTTTTCTATAAGTTCCAGTAGCATACGTGCTAGCTAATCCTAACTCTTGTAATTTTCTATGAGTGCTTTGGCACAAATGGCAAAGAACAACCTTGTATTATCAAATGTTCCCCAATTACTGTTTTTGCTGCTTGAATAACAGCTTGTTCAAAGTCCATGTTCATTATCTTAGGGTAAACATATAAACATTATTTTCGGAACATTTATTGAATATTGCAGTGAACATTTCTTCATACGTACTGCGAGTTTTATTTTGAAGTAAACAAAATATTGAGGTAATAAATTTGTCATACTTTTTACTCTAATAACTTATAATTGCAAAAAAAATTCGGGACATAGTTTAAAGTAACCATCGCAGAACCAAGTATCTGCCTCTGATAAATGAACTAATCCTTCATCCAATGAAAAAATTATTATCCGCTCATTCGATCCCGGGCCATTATCAAAAAGCATAAATCGTTCGTCATTGCCCATTCATTTATAATTGTAAGTTCTGACAAACATGATGGTTTTTTGGGATTACCTTTATTTTTTTGGTGCCGCAACTTCTTTTGGTTGTTTCATCATTTACGAAAGATGTTAAAGCCTGCTCTGGCACCTGATTAATTACTTCAGCGAAAATTTGTGAAGGAGTTGACGTTTAAAATGTTGAAACACGTTTTAACATTTCAACCTTGGCTTTTTCGACTGTTTCTAAATTCTCATCACCAGCATGCGAATGAAACCTCATTTGTTGGATTTTTATAATCTAATTAAATATTTAAAAGTGTTTTATTAAAAATATAAAATATAATTTTTTAAATTTTTTAAGACCATTGGAAGTTACTAAAATTCCTGGACATTTTTTTGAAATTTTATTGGAACATTTCCACCGAATACTTGAAACTAGATTATGATGAACCGTATATGCATATCCGTCAAATATAATGTTTTTATTTTCTGCTACTACAAAACCTCCATTTCAACCTCTATCTCAACTAAATAGCGTCTCGGGATACACTAGGTACCTATATAATATATTATATATATGTGGTAATAATATTGATTATCGTTATTAGTTATTGTAGTTTGTAGGTATAGTCTTATGGTAGGTAAACTGTAGACATACTGCCACGATAAACATTAGATAGATATGGCCATAGCCATATCCATACTTACCAATTAGAATTTAATCGGACTTTTTGTCCGGCAATCAAAAAATGAATTCGGACTTTTTGTCCCCGAACTTTTCGTCTTTATTTTACAGAGATACGGTTCGATTTCTAAGAACAGTCTCATGCGTGTTGACAACAACACATCAAAAGACGGGTCGGTACAGGTCGCTCCACTGACAATAGCTAACTGTTCAAACCGGGGTCGTTTTTCGCGCCGGCGACAAGCAGTGTGTCCGTGTGACACCTGTCTTGTCACCCCGCTGGCCTTAAGACGATGAAGTGCGCTTGCGCGAACTTTTGGCGACCGGGGCACTGACCACCAGTTGTTCCGCGGTCCGGCGTCGTTTTGTCTTCTTTTTTTTTGCTACCACCGCCGTCCGGTATAGTTCACCGCGACCGTGGGTGTCGGTCATTTTTGTATCATTATACCACGTTGCCTGTGTGTCGACCGACAACCTTTCGTTGTACTTTGTACCGGGTTTGATTTCCCATCACCCGTCGTACGTATTTACACGTGCTCGCACTTTTGCGTGCATAATATTGGATTGCTCAAACTATTATCATCGCTGTCAATCGTCGTGGGATTCCGCCATCAACTGTGACCAGGCACCAGCGGTATCGTTATATAATTATTCTTGATTTTGTGTTTGTACATATTTATTTGCATATTGCGCCTTTGATTGTAATATTGTATTATTAGCAATCGTCCGAAGAGACGTCTTCGGCGTTGTACCTTGTACCATTTTAGTTTAGTACCAGTAAACTGGTTATTATATTATATTTTATTTTATATCATATTCATTGTTTTTTAATATTATTACCTTTTACTCCCACACATTCCGCGAGTCGCTCAGCAAACTGCCCAAGCAAGTGCTGGCGGCACAAACACTAACAACAGCACTAGTTCTAAGGATGGGTACTGTAAACTGCATCGCATCATTTAAGTAATATGAGTTTTTTGCTTTCAATCCACTAGCATTGATTTTCATAATTCTAACGAAAGTAGTTCTCAAATTCCTACATTTCTCCTAACATTCATCCACTGCAATAATACGTGCATATAATATAAAACATTTTTTTTTAATGAAATTTAGTTTGGGCAATCTAGGTTGTAGACTTAAAAGTTTATACATTTTCCAACCAATTTTAAAAATGTAATTAAAACTTTTTTATTATACAGGTATTTAGCTCGGGATAGTCGAATTGCAATTATTACCTATAAACGAATTGTCGAATTGCACTTGGATTGAAAAAAGGTAATGGTTGAACTGCACGCAGGTAAAAAGCAGGTAGTGGTCGAACTGCACTCGTTCAAAAAAAAAAAATTAAAATGGAAAACCCGTTAAAAATATTGTGAATCGAAAAGAAAGCTATGGTGTACTTATTTAATAGCATTATATATAAGTTTGTGCCATTTAGATAACGCATATAAGATTAATACTTTTATTGTATACCGTATGGCGTGAACCATGTGTCTATGTAGACCTATGCAAAATACAATTTACACTTGAAAAACACACTTAAGAATACACTTTTACGTCGCTGTATAAATATGAACAGTTTAAAAATTATCAAAAGTGAACGAATCCGTGACTTAATCGTGTATCAAAATTATACATTTAAAAAAAAAAACATGTAAATGATAGTATTAAATGGCGTTGTACCCAGGATGTACATTCGTCTCGCTTGTGTTATATTTTTGTCGAGGAGAATCTACTCTTGGTCACATCGGAGCAAAGACAACTAAGATATTTTGGGAAAAGATGAATGAAGATTGGATGACGAAAACAAATAAAGCTCAATGGAAACGAATTTCACAACGTTGTAAGTTTTTGTGGAACCTCTCAAATTGTATCGGTAGCTTAGATGGTAAACATATTCACATTGAGAAACTGCCGAATACTGGTTCGAGTAATTTCAATTACAAGACATATCACTCAATAGTGTTATTAGTGTGCTGTGACGCTGACGGCCTTTTTACTATGATAGAAACTGGATATGCTGGTAGGAACAGAGATGGAGGGATATTTCGAGCTTCAGCAATGAAATATTGGTTGACACGCAAGGAACTTGATATTCCTTCACCTGCAAAGCTACATCATGATGAAAATGTCGGCAAATTTCAGTATTATTTTGTGAGTGATGAGGCATTTCCATTATCGACATATTTGATGAGCCCCTACCCAAGACGAAATCTTAACACCACACAAAGAATATTTAACTATCGACTAAGCCGTGGTAGAAAAACGATAGAATGTACATTTGGAATGATGACAGAGAAATTTCAAGTGTTAAGTACTGCCATTCGTTGCCATGATGTTGGTTAAGTGAATGACATTGTAAAATCGTGTTGCATTCTACACAATTTTGTTCCAAAAAGAGAAGGATCTCAATATACAGCTCAATATTCTGGAAATATAGATCGTCGTAATACCATTGACTTTACTAATAGTTCTTCGTTATGTGAACGTACACACACAGTAAATGAACACTCAACAGCTTATTCCTTAAGAAATTATTTGGCAAGTTTTTTATTACTCCTCAAGCATCGATTCCATTTCAATGCAATTCTTGTATTTAATTTGTGTGTTTATTAATTAATATTAGTATTCACATACAGTCGAGATTACTTCATAATATAGAGCTCAACCATACTCAATTAAATTATTTAAAATGTATTTAATTAATTGATTAATTAAATTATATTTTAAATTAAACTTGATGATGGTACTATACATTATTCAAATTATTGTTATATAATTTAAGAAATCACAAATAAACAATTTAACATCACATTTATTACGTTTTTCTTTATTTGTACTATTTTCGTTTACAAATGGTAAAAATAAAATATGTACACTCTGTCCAGCGAGAGAATGCGCTGCGCACTGACCAAATATGGTCCCCCCACATGTCACCCTACCATGGTGAACCGGTTTTATTGGCATGATGACGCGGAGGGATGTGCAAGACCGGCGCGTTCTCTCGCTGGACAGAGTATAGTCATGGCTATAATAATAACTAAGGTTACAATATACATATTACAACACCTTGGTTTAATCTATCTATTTTAATTTAACTAGTACGTTTCATACAAATATACACGAACAAAAAGTAAGTACCATATAAATGTTTATGTATAAAATAAAATACTTACCTGGTATTTTGACTTCCGTTAATACGGAATGCCATGCCTTGTCCACAAAATCTTTCCTACAATAATCGGAAATTGAATAATAATATAGGGGTGGGTGTTTTTTAACCTCATCAGTCATCAATTAATTTAATGTTGAACGCCTCTGGTTCCATGATTCAAATCAAAATTACTAACATTTTTAAACCCTACGCACGATACGATTAGCAGGAGACCAGCATTGCCGATCGCACGTGTTGTTAGTTGCTCGCGTCACGGTCACGTCACAATCGCGTTGTCAACAAATTGCGTTGTTAGTGGATATCTATTCAGTTTCCTAAGAAATCGCGAGGAGGAGAAGTTGCGTCGCGCCCGCCATTGCTGATCAATCGTGTTAAGGCCCTCCGCACACGAGATGATTCTAACGCGACACGATTTATTCGATATATGCGATACGAGCGATGTCCTATCAAAGTAAATGGGGATCCTCAAACGACGCAATTTGATAACGACGTGACTATTACCATAGAACAATATAGAAGCGACACTCGATCAGCTGGTTGGGGTCTTGTTTACCTATGATCTGAAGTCTGAACCTCCGAAAAACATGGAAACGTTTACCAATATGATGTTAGACCCAAAGTGGTATTATATAAACGTTTACTTCCACGTAGATCACGACAACGAATAGCAGTACTCAGCACTTGAAATTTGTCCGCCATCATACCAAATGTTTCTACCATCGTAAAAAGCCCATCAGCATCACAACATCCCAATAAAACAATTGAATTGTAGGCTTTATAGTTGAAATTACTTGAACCTGTATTCGGCAACTTCTCTATTTGAATATGTTTACCGTCTATAGTCTATACTACCTATACAATTCGCGAGATTCCACAATGATTTATAACGTTCTGCAATATTTTCCCATTGATCCTTATTCGGTTTCGACATCCCATATACATTCATCACATCCCCTATTATCTGTGTCGTCTCTGCCACGATCTGCACAACTGTTGATTCTCATCGTCAAAAGTACAAGCCTAGCGACACAAATGTACTCCCTGTAGCCAAATATCTGTAAAATAAATATTTAAATGCATTATATGTATGTTTTAGTGAAAGATTGCAAAGAAAAATAGAGGAATATAAGGACTACGTTTGTAAGAAGAATTAAAAACTCGACAAGTGGATCAAAAGCCAAGAAGCCGTATTATTTGAATGAAGCAATGCAGTTCACGTTACCTTTTGTCAAAACATGTGCTATGCCTAGTGGAAATTTACCAACTATTCCTGATAAAGAATTTGAGACCGCTGATGTGTGGGAAAACTCAGAAATATCGGAGTATACTGAATCAAACCAGACAGACATCATGTCAGTCTCATCGCCGATATGCTTCTACCACCATCCCCTCGCCCTTCTACTTCAAATAGCATACTACTAATTACGACACAATCTGAAACTGAACGCGTTACTACTCCAAAATCAACATTTTTAAAATCCAAATCTACTCCAGGAAAAAAGTAAAAAGAAATAAAAATATTTCCACTGATGTTGACTAAGCCTTTGCCGAATATTTTGAAACCAAGAAAGCTAAAATAGCCGCGTTTGCTTCTGATGCCAGGACAGATTCAGTAAAACAGTTTCTAAATAGTCTTATACCGGATCTCTTAACAATGTCAGCTTCACAACTGAGAACCTATAAACACAAATCTATTGAACTTATTGACGAAATACTTTTAAGTCCTCCCACTATGAATAGTCATTCTTCAGTTGCTACTTATTTATCTTCGTTTTCATCCGACGAAAGTATAGTAATAATTAAGTAGTAACGTAATTTCAAATTACACAAACTATATATGTAATACTCAATATTATAAAGCCTAATAAGAAGTTTCTTTTTTTTATGATCAAAATTATAAAGCCTAATATAAAATAAGAAGTTTTTTTTTATTATGATTAAAAAAATTATAAAGCCTAATATTAAATAAGAAGTTAATGTTTTTTATTATGGTTAAAATTATAAAGACTGATGTTAAATAAGAAGTTAATGTTTTTTATTAAGATAAAAATTATAAAGACTAATGTTAAATAAGGATATGTTTTTGTTTATAATTAATATTATGAGGTTTATTATATGATAAATATTAAAAAATATTTTTAAAACTATAACTATAAACATCATTGACGTACCTTAATGTGATTAATATTCTTTCTTCTGCACTCACACATTCTCTCATGTTAGTATTCTTCTAATGAATGGCATGAGATATAATGTCAACAATTTCTTTGTAGGATTCCTTTGACATTCTATAAAATGCTACAAATGTAACGTCGGTTTTCCGTGTAGCGAGTTTGGGTGGGTAATAATTTACGTGAGCAAAATCCCAACGGCTGCCAGATACCGTCTGCAATTTGTTTCAGCTAGGACCGCTCCCGTCGCCGTACTTGATGCGTCGGTACTCAATCACAACGGTATGTCGTGTCTAGGGTGTGCCAGCGTGACCGTGTCTGCCAGAGCTTGTTTGGACTTTTCGAAAGCTTCGCGAGTGCTTTGATTCCAAACTAGTGGGCCGTCTTTTTTCCGGACCGTGGACGCGAGCGCGTACAACTGGGTTTGTAGTTGTGCAGCGTGCGGGATGAACCGGTGATAAAAGTTTACTGAACCTCACAGGCTTTGTAGTCCCTTTTTTTTGACGGTAGTGGCCACTTATGAATGTCGGACACTCGTTTCTGGAAGCGGCTTGCAACCGTGTTGTTTCATTACGTGGCCGAGCAAAGTGAGCTCTGAAGCGCACGTTGGTCACATGATCGTCAGCGTTGGCGGAGATGAATAATACATCATCGATGTAGGCAAAGGCGAAATCTAAACCTTGAATGATGCCGTTTATGAAACGCTGAAACGTCTGTGCCACGTTCTTGAGCCCAAAACACTTGACAGGGAACTCATACAAACCGAACGGCGTCGTGACCGCGGTTTTTGGTATATCATCTTTAGCGATGGGAATTTGATGGTGAGCGCGTACAAGGTCGAGCTTTGAAAAAATAGTTCGACCTGCTAGGTTGGCGGCAAAATCGTGGATGTGAGGTAGTGGGTACCTGTCTGGCATTGTGACCGCGTTCACGCGCCGATAGTCACCGCAGGTCGACTAAAGTGCCGTCTTTTTTGGAGTAGAGCAGCAAAAGGGCTGGCCCAAGCACTCTCCAATGGCTGACATATGCCTTTCTGGCACATGTATGCAAACTCATTTTTCGCGATGGTGTACTGGTGTGGCGGCTGGTAGCGTGGACGCGCGAATAACGGTGGTCTGGTTGTGTCCAACGTGTGTTCCGTAGTGTGAGTAAACTTATTCGGGACCGGCGATTCACGCGTAACTGCCGGGAACTCAGCAATAATGTCCGTCCAGCATCGTGGGTGAACTACCGAAAAAATGTCTGAAACTTGTACGTTAGCGACGCTGGTTTTGATAGCGGTGGACGAATCTTGGTTGATGAGACGGCGGTTACGTACGTCGAGTAACAGGCCGTAATATTTCAAAAAATCGGCACCAATAATAGCACGCGAGACGTACGCAATCTCGAAACGCCACGGGAAAGAACGTGCGAGGCCGATGTTGAGACGTAGATTTTTGGGTCCGTAAGTGCGGATCCGAGTGCCGTTAGCGGCTGTGAGAACCAAATCCGACGAGGCGCGATGCCAGGCGACAGGTGGGATAACCGAGATGTCGGCTCCCGAGTCAATCAAAAACTGTCGGCCGGAGCATGTGCCTGTGATGAACACGTGGCAGCTGTGGTTCGCGGTGGTGGACATGGTTGCGACCGCCGCGCTTGCTAGTTTTCCGACTTAAAAAAGAACACGGCGACTTGCAGTGCCTAGCGTCGGCGCCGTATTGATTATGATAGCTGCACCATTTCGGGTTGTTTTGTGAGCTCGATTTCGAACGGCTCCGATTGCGACCGTACCCGGAATTATTACGGGACTGCTGAGCGGTGATCAGGTTGGAGATTTGGGTAGTCAACGAGAGAATGGCGGCCTCCATGGCGCGGAGACGGTCGTCCGAGCTGCTCGATAGCACTGCGAAAACATCGCGCGAGGTACTGGCCTCCAAAACGCGACCTACGCGTTCAGCGATGTCGGTCAACGTTCCGTCGAGACCGGAGACTGTTGCGCGAATGTTTGACAGTAACTTCTGTAGCCAGAACTCCTTAAGCGTGGTGTCGTCTAACGAATTAGGAAGCACCGCTCTCATGTCTCGGAGCATTTGGGAGGGTCTCCGATCGCCCATTCCGCCCGGTTCGACGATGCCCATTCCGCCCGGTTCGACGATGGTGCGAAATCGAGTCGACGGTGGCACTGAAAACGTGTTGATGAGGCGGTCCTTTAGACTAGCGTAAGACGTGCTGGGACCAATCAGGTCCCTTACAGTCTTGACCGCCTCCTCGTTCAATGCGGCGAGCACGTGGTTTAAGCGCGGAGTATCGGCACGAATTCTTTGGTTTGAAAACACGGCATCAGCGTGTAGGAACCACTCGTGCGGGGAGTAAGTCCAAAAATTCGGTAGCCGGGGCACGTGAGAAACACTGTCAACCGAGTTCGGAACGTTCGAGATAGCGGGTAGTGACAGCTGACCGAGCACACTGCGCACCGGTTGCATCTTGCATGACTTCACCGTCAATCATTGCAAAAAAGGTAGGCAGACTTGTCAGGGCGCTTAGAGTAGTTGCGTGTATATATGAAAATTGCAAATTTCGAAATCATGAGGTCACCAATGCGGCAATTGAAGTGGAAAAACTCACACGGGAAAAGGTTTTGAGGTTAGGAGTGAAACTTAAATTGTCAGGTCTGTTTCAAACACGGACTACGCGTGATACACGTTATAGCTCTATCCAGTGTACAGGGGCGCCCGCAGAAAATCGGCTCAGTGGGTGCAAAGTTTAATTTTTGTGATACACACATAGGTTATCACGTATTTGCATTACTACACACTGATTTTTTGATTCATTTAAAAATCCCAGTGGGTGCATTGGCACCCACTGGCCCCTTTCTGCGGGCGCCCCTGCCAGTGTGTATGATTTAAGGTGTTATAGTGATAAGGACGATTAGGTACTGAATGCTTAGATCATATACTTTGTTCATGCGCAGTGATGACTTCGGGCAAGAACAGCTATGCTTCAAGATTTTAAACCATAGCTCTATCCAGTGTATAGGATCTAAGTGTTTTGTGTATTCATCAGTAATCTCTTATCATAAAACAGTTTTGCTCATGCGCAGTGATGACTTTGGACACAAACAGCTATGCTTCAAGATTTTAAACCATAGCTCTATTCAGTGTATATGATCTAAGGCAAAGATGGAACATTAGGACCGAGGACTGGGAGGCGTGGTCGTGCCAAACGGATTCAGAGAGATAGCATGAGTTTTATCATAAGAGTGAGAGAAATGTCCTCTACTCCGAGGACAGCCAATTACATAGCTTTAATAGTGCCCGATCACGAGGACAATTGCACGCGTTATCATACCTAATGTTCCGTCTATTTCTATAAGTCTATGAATATATGATGGTCACGTGAGATATATTTTGTCACGAGCGCGTGCGTGCATACGTTATCCCATACCCATGCACTGAAAGATATATGTTGGTTTCGTTGCTGATCGGGCAGCGGCGTCCGTGGTGGTATCATCCCATTTCGCCGAATCCTATTTCGCCGAATCCTACTTTAACGACAAAAAAAAACAGTTGTATACGGATTAATATAAAATCCCATTTGGCCGAATGCTATTTTTTCGAATCCCATTTTGCCGAAAAATTTAAAATAAAATTGTATTTGTTAGGTAATAAAGACTAAAAAATTAATACAAGGTTCCTAATATATTGTGACAAAAAGTGGTTAAATAAGTTTTTAATATTTCTAACTCTAAAATTCAAAAATTCACTTTTTTCTGTTGCTTTTCGCTATAATTGATGTATTATTAAAGTGGGAAGAAAGCTATTTCAGGTGACATCGTCGCGGAAACATCGTTCCGTAATCTTATCGCTGATAAAGTGACAATAGTAATAAAAACTTACATCTACAAATGTAAAATGTTACACATATAATGATGATGAGTTTACTCACAGTCACTCTCTTTATAATCTGCAGTCACATTTGCCACTCGTACTAGTTATTTAAGTGTTGTATTTTAAAAGTGTATTTTAATATGTCTTGGTATACAATTAATTCAAACCGCGGCAAACCGCTATTAGTTGTAGATAATTATATACATAGGATTGACCGAAATAATGGAAATAATGAATATTATAAGTGTATTGATAACTGTGGAGGACGAGCAATATTAAGATCGCAAACGACTGCAATAATATCCAAAATTCATCATCACCCGACGCATGGAGCTGAATTGGCACGACGTGGATTTCGAGAAACTCTAAAGGTAAAATAAATCTTCAGTTTGTTTATATATTATATTATAGTTTGTATATATTATAAGTATACGTATATACTATATATATTGCGTTAATATATAAATAATACAGTGTGATTGATTAAGCGTAAAACACTCATTATTTCAAAAAGTATTCGTGTTTTTGAAAACAATTTTTTACATAGTTTTAAGTCGTTAAAAATAATACGTTTTTATTAAAAAATTATATTTTTAAATATTTTTTATCCACTATATTTTTTTTAGTTTTTTAGTTTTTTGAATGACAACATAGAGTTTTAATTTCATATTCCAAAGCAGAATAATTTTCTGAGTATTTTGATACATAAAAATCGAATTTTGGGCGAGTAGTTTATGAGTTATACGTATTTATAGTTTAGACAAGCGGAGTGGAGTGGTACGGGGTACCCCGCAAAATTTTAAATACGTAAACTCATGAACTACTGGTCCTAAATTTGATTTGTATGTGAATAACGATTTTTTTTTTTTACTACGATAACTTATAACAAACCTTGCATTAAAAATTAACTTAATTAAATTAAATTTTAAAGATTTTTAATATAATAAATTATATGCCCCGGGCGCCAAATTTTTAAATAGTATAATATTAAATATTATAAAATATTATTATATTTTTTATATATATATTATAATAATAAATCATATATCAAGCGTGTATATAGTATACATATATAATTAGTATGTAGATCACATAAAAAACGAATTATTATATATTTAGGAAAAAGTGGTTTCAAATCCAACAAAATCTGTGCCTCAGAATTTCCACGAAGTGAGACGATCCCTTGTTTCTTCAGGAATAAAAGGTTGCACTATATCAGAAGTAGAAGATGCTGTTCCTGTATATACTAGTGTCAGATCTTCAGCATACAGAAAGCGAATGAAATTGGTACCAAAATTACCTACAAAGTTATCGGAACTTATTCTTGAGAACGAATGGAGATCAACTAACGACAGAAAGGATTTTTTATTAGGTAATTATTTTTTCATGACAACTTGAGAAGTAGGTACTGCTCAATCAGTTAATAATACAAACCATTAATAACTAAATGTATATAGGATGTGATGGTCTTGACGACAAAATTGTTGTATTTGAGACGGAAGGATTCTTAAGAAGACTATGCAGTAGTGAAATTATTTTTATGGATGGGACATTTAAATCAGCACCTCAGTTATTTACCCAAATTTATACTTTGCACAGCTATGTTGTAGGAATAATGATACCATTGGTAATTATAATTATAAAAATAAACTAATAGGAGTTTTTAGTACATAATTATTAATTATAGAAAATTGACTTTAAAGGCTTATGCATTGCTACCCAACAAAAGCACAGAAACGTATTCCAGAATGTTTAAAATAATAAAAGAAGCTGCTCTAAGGAATGGTTTAATATTTAACCCCAATACATTTCAAATAGACTTTGAAATTGGTATGATTGTTTCAATTAGAGAAACTTTTGGATATACAACATCTATAAAAGGATGTTTATTCCACTTGGGTCAATCAATTTGGCGGAAAGTTCAAAATTTAGGGCTTGTTCGTGATTATAATCAAAATGACGATATAAAAAAAACTGTACGCCGTATGTGTAGCCTAGCTCTAATACCAATAGACCAAATCGATGATTGTTGGACAGAAATTCATGCCCAAGCGCCTCAACATGAAGGTAAATATTAAAAGGTATTTAAAATTTGTGTACTACAATTTTTATATTTATATAAATAAATTATTTAGGTTTGGATAGATTGATGAGTTACTTCGTAGAAACTTATTTGGATAACGACGTTAGTATATTTAGTCGTAGCATGTGGAACCACTACGAAACAGACCATACGAGGACAATTAACCACCTCGAGGGTTGGCATGCAGCTCTTAACAGAAATAATATTATAACGAAACAAAATTCTATTTTACTATGCTTCGGCGAGATGGGTTTCGGCGAGATGGGTTTCGGCGAGATAGGTTTCGGCGAGATGGGTTTTCGGCGAGACGGGATTCGGCGAAATGGGTTTCGGCGAAATGGGCCCAAATCGTCCGTGGTAGGTTCCGTAAATTCAGGGTTGCGGCTTAGGAGGTCTGTCGCGGCTATATATATATCGTATATATAAATATAATTATCGCGACGGTCAAGGTCAAATTTGTATTTAAATACCGTGTCTCCCCAAGTCGCCGAAACCCAATTCGCCGACACCCCATTTCGCCGACTATTTTTTACATTTTCCCAATTTTCCGAATATAAATATTATATAAACAATTATATAAATTTATATAATAATAAAAATCAATAAAAATAAAAATAAAAATAATAAACAAAAATTATTGTATGTACATATGATATTTTATTATATCTATGTAGTCCAATAATGAAATTTCTTTTGATTCCAATCTAAAATAAAGTACAAAATAACTTATTTATTAAAAATCCTAGGTGTAAAAATTAACCATTTTATAATATTTACCTATTCTTTGCATTTGTTTATCTTTCTTCAAGTTTCCGAAACTTCATTTTACTTAATGGTTTTCGATTACCGTTTTTCTGGACTGCAATGTCGAGTTCAAAATTTTGTTGTTGATTTTTTATCTCGTTTATCAAGAAAAATATATTTGGCTATGTTCGACTAATAGATCGGTTTAAACTAGACTGTCGGCGAAATGGGAATGTTTCTAAAATATTTTAAAATTGGTATATTTGTCGGCGAACTGAGTTGTCGGCAAATTGGGATTCGGCAAAGTGGGTATAAAATAAACCTTAGGCTACAGCCAATTTGCGCCCCGAGGGATATGGACAGATGCGCCCGAAAGATAAGGTACTACCTGCCGATTTATAGCCCATATGCACCCATTTCGTATGCAACGTTGCTGTTGTGATTCATATTATTATAGATTATATTTATCTTGATAAATAACTTAAATTATTTAGATTACCTAGTAGATTATATTATAATCTACTAATTGTGCAGTTATTATTTATTTTATTATTATTTACTGTAGTAATAATTCATCTCACAAAAAATTATATGAATAAAATAAATATTTCAAATTAAAAAAAAAAAATTTCGGAATATATAATATAAGGTTAAGTACATGCAATTATTATAAAAATTAATACTGTTGATTTTTCTCACACGTCATATATAATAATAAAAAATTAAACACATAATTAACACATTTTCATTAAAAATAGTTCGGGTTATGATTTCGGGCGCAAGTGGGTTATTAAAAAGGTGTGATGGGCGCAAATGGTTTGCGCCGGAACCTTAAATACAACCGGACCGCTGCCCGCCGAGACAGATCGCGTTCTATGTGCCCGAACCTTTAGGGTTCAGGCATCAGGATTAGAATCCCCTATTTTATACTATTTATATTATTATATTTAAAAATAATAATCGTCAATAGCTGCCAACAACTACCAACGCATTACGTATACGTTCATTTTAAAACTACGTTACCTATAACACTAACATTTTTCTTATACGACGACGCTTGGCGCTTGCTGGTCATCCAAATTGAGTATATTATTATAAGTTTCTATATCCTCGTTCCTCACTAACACTTCATGCTTCTGTTAAAGGCTATTGTGACATGCATTGGGTTTTATGTTAGATGCACCTTATTTACACAGCAGTTAAAATCTAAATATGGCGTTCAGCAACAAATAGAGAATATCATTCAAATGTTTAGTTTGGTATTGAGCAAGTCGCATATAAAAGTCCTCAAGAAATATAATTTTATTTCATTTATTGAACAACGTTCACATTATTTCAATTATATTCTTTTATTAAATAAAAATGATTTTTTTCAAACACAGTTTAATTACTATAACAATTTTAGTTATTGCAACTATGGTTATGACAGCAATGACAGCTACTTTGAATCAGAAACGACGTATGGATTAATTATTGATATTTAACTATTGTATTTTTTTTATTTTTTAATCTTTTTTTTATTTAGAACACTTAATTTTCTGTATATCATCAGATTTGCATAACCTAATTTTAATATAGGTTCTCTACACCTGAATTATTTATTTTATTTTTTATGATATAAATCATTTTCCAGTTACAATTACATGTTTTTTTTTATTTTTAGTTTATTGTGCCAGTATGTAAGCTTTATAATTAATAATAAATACAAATTTGATTATGATAGTCCGCTTAGTTCAATCAATGAAAATATATAATATATTATGTTGTCTTAAATTATAGTTTAAAAACAGGTTTCATAAACAATCACTATTTATATTTAATAAGTCAATTTATTGTAATTTTTGTTGTAATTTAAATAAAAAATAGTGACCCAAGTGGTTAGTTTATTACAGATTAATGAACCGTCACATTAAATAATCGTTTATGTTACCTAACGTGTGAAAAGATTATATACAATAAGAAGGATAATTTTAAAATGTTATAGGTATTCTAATGACATACTGTGGATTTAAAAGTGAGTTAATTGTATAAATAAGTAATTTTATTTATATTTCATCTTTTTATTAAACGATTAATTTATATATATATAAATATTAATAATTATCATACTCCATTGGTTTTCTGATGATAAAGTTCAATTATTTTTTATTTAGGCTCTTTAGTTTCACAAAATATTTGGAATGTTTAATTTTTATCAAAATACCTATGTTTATTTTATCATATTCTGTAGGTACATGATCAAACTTTCAAAATATTTTTACTCGTTTTAAACAATTCACGGACATTTGAAATTGCATGTTATTTAAGTTTATTTTTATATATATTTCAATAAATATTGATTTGTTTGACTGAAATTCTTAAAAATTCAATTCGAGGTTAACCATGTGTTGACATACCTAATAGTAGTTGAGTTATATTAAATGTCTATTGGAACAGTAAATATGCAAAATTTAAATATTAATACAATTTTATTAACATAAATCGTCAAATTATATATAAATTGAAAAAAAAACCAAAAAATTGCGATATCAGTGGAAATCAAAAATTTTAATAATTATTATTAACTTCTCGAAAATAATCACATTTGATTTACTGAATTCCACATATGTTGAACTCAGTGAACACAGTGTGATCGCGCACAACTAAACTAATAACAAAGTAATAATTATTATTACTATAGTAAATAGTAATAGTAGTAGTTATAGACTCTCACTGTAGTGTAGTTTGGTTTGCGACTTTTTTACTGTTGATAATAATTATTCCTATGCAATTATGTATATGTTATAATCTACATGACTTATCGTGGTGTTTATTTTGTGTAAGGCACAAAAATCATCATGTCTTCCGAATTTTTATATGAGTGGGAACCCGACTCTAATTAATAGTTTGTATGATGAAAAGTCATATCCACATAATATTTATCTTTCAGACATGTAATTACCAAATATTGGAAACAAATATAACCCCTACATTCCCTATTCATATAAGAAATTCATTATGTGGGTCCACTGTAACATCTTAAAAAAATAACGAATGTTCATTGTATAAGGTATAAGCAGCTTTTTCAGTACCTTTTGCATTTAATTATGCTGTGCATAAAGTAAACTCTCAAATGTAATACTGGAATAATTCAATTTCAGATAATCATTCCGATTACATAGTATTTGATTTAAATGGTATGTGTTTGAAACTCAATAATTAATTCAATTTTAAATATCATACTTTGTGGCTGTATGCATTTATCTAGTTAATCTATATACCAACAGATTAAATATCAAAATCAATAAAATATTTACTAATGGAAGAGCCATCATAAATATCCGAAGAGTCCTATGATTAATTTAACTAATATAAAATTAGTCAAATATCTGTTTTGGGTACAAATAGTTTTATACATATAAAAACAAATGAACCATTTTATTATTGTATTTAATTGATTTTATTTATTTATTAGCTCTAAATTGTAAGTATTTTCATTGTTAATTTTGTGTTAGTCAAGTTTTATTAATTTTTTCTAGTTTGTTATAGTTCAGTAACAATTTATAGATAACTTTATTATAATTTGTTTATAGAACAGATTATTATTAAATCTCTTATAATAAACTATCTTAAGTAAACATTTTAATTAAAAAAATTTTTCAGTTGATAGCTGTAAGCTGTTAGTTCTCTACTTAATGATCCAAACTACCGCACTAATGCACTTTTTTTGGTATAAGTTGTTAATTTGACCTTATTGAAAGTTAATTATGATCTAATTTATTTACTCATATTATTCCATTTTGGTACCTACTCTCATTTTTGTATAGTTTGGACAATTTTGATACTTTACATGTTAAGAATGTTTCCTCGATTATATACAGTTGATTACCAATTTTTAAAAAGTTAAATACTTCATCACTTTTATTGATTTAAATAGCAAAATAATTTTAATCAATCGAGTGTAATTTTTTTCGTGTTGACAAAATAGATATTTTTAGGCATAATTGAAAGTCGAATTCTAATAATAAATTGAATCACATAATTTATACAAGACAAACAATTTACACATATTTGTTTTTCCTATACATTTTGAGTGGTTTTTTTTTCATAATATACAATGATTAACTATTGAAGTAAAATTCTAAAAAGTTAAAGTAATACTATTGCAATGTGTATTATATTGATTTGTTTTAATTTACATTTTTAAAATTTAATAAAAACAATTTGTACATTTCTGGTTTGATTGTGTATGTTAGTTGATGGCACAATTCAATAGCTTTAAAATAAAGAAATCTAAGATAACAAGTTGAAAAGAAGTAAAGATAGGCTTATCAGTAAATATTTAATATTTTTGATTTGGTTTGAAAAAAAGTTGAATTGCACATTACTATAAAGATTAAAAAAGTTATACTTCTTCTTTAAAGTATTTATTTTTTATTCTATTTATTTCATA